TTTCCGGGTTCCGTATTACCATTAGGACAGTTATTTCCAGCGTAATTATTACGTAATTGCGTTTGAAATGCAAGCAGGGAATAGGGCCGACTGTGGCCATTTTGTTAGAGTGTCCGATTACGAATATATATGTTCAGGATTAGCGTCACGTTATCGCCAAGACTGCACTTGGGTGCGTTATAAGTGTGCAGTTCAGATCCTTCTTTTCGGTCAGCTGTCGTCTCTTTAATCAAGAAGTTTGATCAGGACAACTAGCCATTGCGTAAATATCGAAAACACAATTCATGTACTTCAATATTTATATGACCCACACCTTATATAGCAATATACAAAATGATATTTCTCGGGATAGAGGCCTGGGCATGGCCTGGTATTTAAGGCACTCGGCTGTAGGTGGTGGGTTCGAATTCCTGTCACCAAAAATGCTCGTCCTTTCAGCTGTGGGAGATATGTAATGCAACGGTCAATACGTTAGCAATAGAGTAGCCCAAGAGTTGGCGGTAGGTGGTTTTGACTAGCTGCTTTACCTCTAGTCTATCACTGCTGAATTAGGGACGGCTAGCGCAGATAGCCTTCGAGTAGTTTCGAGCGATATTCACACCAAGCCAAACCCTGCAAGAAGCTATTCACGTGCTATCTAATCACATGACGTCACCAATTATTCAAATATAACAAGATCATAGTCACGCGCTACAAACTTTAACCAATCACAACCTCCATAAGTGCACTATACGACGGTAATATTTCTTTTATAAAAAGTTTGTAAACCTGAGCGTGTGTATCGATTCCTGAGAAGGTCCTCAGCTCGTATCTTCAAAAGGTACTGGGACGTTTCTTCCCTATCTAAGGTTCTGGTAAGAATCAAAAGACCGGTTTCTTTCTCAATGTCGAACATGCCTACAAGAAAGAAACAAAACAGAAACTCAGACTGTATTCAACCACAAGGCAGAGATACACAGAACCAAACTAATATTGAATCAGAATATTGTATGGTTCAACCACCGAGTACAATACAACGTGCTGTCCGTCACATGAATCAACCAGTAATTATTGGTCGAAAACTTGATAATGTATTCATTGTGAATGTTTTGAAACCAACTAATAAAAAAATCCAATAACAAAGGTAGTTAAAAGTGTTTATACAAGATTAATTAATTTGATAATTAATTAGCTTACTAATCATTACAACACTAAAGTCATAACTAAGCCTAATGTCTGTAAAATAAAAACGTAAAAATCTTTTACACTGGTGTATATATATACGAGGTACATTATTTGAGAAATAACGGCTGATGAATAGAACTCTTGATTAATCTTTATATAAAAGTATCCAACAGTGAAAATGAGTTGGTTTTGAAAAAAACATGGCGCATGAAAATAACGAGTTTTTGATATAACGTTTCCTTTTTGATTACGTCGCTTATTACCAGCTCTCTTAGTTTTGGTATATTTGTTTTCAATTCAAGCTGAATCAAAGCTTCCTTTCTTCACAGACTTAATTAAGGGCACGTGGAATATGGAGTAGAGGGTGAACACATAATTATGTCGACAAATAAAAGCAGACATACCGTATCGAATAAATTCAGTTTAATACAGTATTTGTATTTTTATGAAATATCTCATACGTGGGTATATCATCGATCGTCATAAAACATTTATGCTGTAATAACAAGATAACCCCCTAATTAGCTGAATAATAACGGAAAAACTCCTAAAATATTACTGCTTAAACATCAGAAACAAACAAACTGCTTATATTCCTGCCAAGAAACCTTGATAAGCCGTGAATTCGGCGAAACTAGTCTACTGCAGCGGGAGTAGCGAATCAAAGAATGCACGAGACCTTTATGTTGTCTTTTCTTTACTTTAGTTTTGGTGAATAAACATTTTAAGATGTTTTTTTTTGAAGGTGTGTCAAATTTGAACCCCCCCCCCCTCCCCAAGAATAGGAAATTATAATTATCTGATTCCACACATAATTTACATATTTATTATTTAATTTAATTAAAGTTCCAACTTCTTACCGTCTACATCTTGCTCAGAAATACCATATCGCACTGGCTTATACGCAATCTCATCTGTGGTATTAAGATCAAGTACTGGTAGTGGCGCCACCTGGTTTTCTTCAACAGTTACTTCGTAAAGTCGAGAGGAAAATAAGCGGACTCCAGTTCCTGCCCCAACAATGATATTCAGCTAAAATAGAAAGCACGAATGTTGTTAATGTCGTATTTGTTACACCTGAAATCCTGTAACTAGCTGTAAGAACAGATACGACGTGAAATTATTTGACCTTCGTCCTATTTAGTTGCTTCACTCGGGGACACCAGAATAGAATGTTGGACAACACCAGGAATAAATGAGAGAGGTAGCCTCATATAATTAAACACATTTGTTTTCAGCGTAAATCTCCGTTGCTAGCGAAACATCGAACTTTATTAGACGTAAAATTATGACATTATTAGGCTTAACATGACTAATCAATTATTTGTTCATACGATAAACAAATGGTTTCATCCTTCTAGCGGGTTGCTATGGTCCACTATGGTCATTTGAGAGCAGTAATGACTTATAATACGCCACTTGCGACCTTACCTCAGTTTTGTCCGAATTCGGCGGGTTACTATGGTCATTTGAGAGCAGTAATGACTTATAATACGCCACTTGCGACCTTACCTCAGTTTTGTCCGAATTCGGCGGGTTACTATGGTCATTTGAGAGCAGTAATGACTTATAATACGCCACTTGCGACCTTACCTCAGTTTTGTCCGAATTCGGCGGGTTACTATGGTCATTTGAGAGCAGTAATGACTTATAATACGCCACTTGCGACCTTACCTCAGTTTTGTCCGAATTCGGCGGGTTACTATGGTCATTTGAGAGCAGTAATGACTTATAATACG